TCCCCAGCTGCTCACCCACGACAGCAGCAGCACACTCATCCCTGGGGAACCTCGAGCTCTTCCCACAGTACAGGCACCCTCTGCCCTCCCTTCCCCGCAGTAGCTGCTCTTATCCTGGTGGAGGAGAGGAACCAGGGAGAGTTTCTTTGTAGCATTTGGTTCTTTGCACTTTAGTGGCTGAAACAGAAGGACCCTGCACCAGCCCTTTCCAGAGCACCAGCAGACAGAGGCAATGACCCAAGAACTTTCCTTTTGTGACTTCCCAGTAGCTAAAATGGCCACCAAAGCAGTATTGTTAATCCCAGCTTGGCCAGGCCCATGGACAGCCTTGGCATTTACTCTGGGCATGTTATGTGGGCTGAGCCCCCTGTGTAGGGCAGGGAAGGGCTGTGTCTGACAGAGAGGCTGTGTGGGCACACAGTGTGCCCAGGCAGCCGTGAGCTCCACTCACTGAGCCATGGGGAGCAGAACCAGACAAGGAATGAGTGAGACACACCTTGCTGGAGTAATCCCACAAGCTTTGCAGGAGCTGGTTTCTGTAGTTTGCTTGGGCACCAAGTGTTAGGATATCTGCCCACTGGGACTCCAGGACCCACTAAATGCCAGCCTGGAGCTTCAAATCCTCTTCAAATCCTTCAGCAGTTTTTTTTTGTTGGGACTGTTGCTCCTGACCCAGTGCTGCACTCTGGTGATTCCATTTTGACCTGGTGCTGGTTTTGGCTTTGGAGCCAGGGAAAGTGAGGTTTGAAGAATGAACCTAAAGGCATGTTCCCCTAGCCTCACCACACTGGGATTGTTTTCCTCCCGCTCCCTGCACGGTGAAAGGGCATCCTAGGGATGCAGTGCCTCCCCTGAGACCCCCTCACACAGCACTGCCATGGCCTGCCACCCACCAGGGATGCCCATGTCCTGCCAACGTTTTGTAGCAGTCCAGCCTAAAAACTGCTTCCTTTCCAATCCTTGGAAGGAGCCAGGGGTCTTCTGCAGGGGCTCGGCAGCCCAGGCAGGCAGGATGTGCCATTACTGACAGCCAGGAGAAGACAGGGAGCTGCTTCTGTGCTGGCCAGGGAGCTTTCCTGCGCCTTCCCTTTGCTTTCCCCAGCTCCCTCCATGGGTCCCCACTTCCCTCTCGACACGAGGCCTTATTCCAACCCGAGGGGACTGAGGCTGCCCCACGGTATCTCTCTGCACTGACACATCCATCTCCCGCTGCCTGCAGGGAGCCCCGGGGCAGTGCGGCAGAGCTGGCCTCTGCTCGGGGTTGGGGCCACCCCCAACCTATCCCTGCTCCCATCCCACTCTGCCACCGTGCTGGAGTTCTGCCTCCTTCCCCACTGCCAGGGCCTGGCCACTGTAGGGAAATCTGCTTTCACAGGTTAAACCTTTTTACTTCATTCATTGCTCCACAAAAAACAGTAAATTTGCAGGCGTGTTACCACACTCCTCTTGCTTTTGCCTAGGAGTGGGGGCAGCTGAGATCTGCTCTTTTTGGCCTCTGTAACCCTCACCAGAACTTTCTGGAGGTTTATAACATCGTTTGGTGAGATGTAATCTCTGTGGAGCCAGAGGGAACACAGGCAATGGAGCTGGGCAGCCTGCTTTGCCCAGGTGGCGAGGGGCTCGCGAGGTGCCTGGGCTGCCTTGGGTGGAAGGTGGGACACGGTCCCGGCAGCGCCGGTGGGACGCCGGCCACTCGTCTGTAGTCAGGAGAGGATTCTGCTATACTTTTTTCCTGTCTGTAGGTTTTATTCAGACAATATGTAATGATTGAGTGATTTACAATTCAGTGTTAAGCTAATGAAAACGTTGATAATGGTGATAATAAAACCTTTTTTTTTTCCTATGGTGTGTTGGAGGTTTTCTGTGGAGTGTCTCTGCCCTCTCTGTTGCCACCACCATCATCTTCAACCTCTGATTTCAGCTGGACCTTTCTGCTTGTGCCTGTATGGAATGAGAGCAGCCTGGTGGTGCTGCATGGAAGGGCTGTCACTCCAGCTCCCTCAGTCAGCCCCAGCTTCAAACCTGCATTTTCCTGATCCACTTCTGGATGTAATTTGGCATCTCCAGGCACAGAGCTGAGCTTGCTTCAGCTTGTGCTCTGCTCACCACCCCAGCCTAAAGCTCCTGCTGTTTTCTTTCCAAGAGCCTTCATGGTCAGCCCTGGCTATTCAAGGGTGATTTTGAAACCCTGGAGGGTGAAGACTTCTGGCAGAAAAAACACCACCCCTGGCCCAGGCTGTTGGGAACATCCAGTGTGGGTGCAGGGGAGCCTGGAGACCCTCAGAGGTTACTGGGTGTGCAGCTGCTGCCTGGAGGACCTGGAGCTGGTGGATCCTTGGGTGGGAGATGTCTGGGAGGTCCTGCTGGAGGGGTCTGTGGGAGGAGGTGGTGGTGCTGAGGATAGGCACCATTCTCTGGGGAGCTACTGCAAGTTCTTTTCCTATGGGAATGAGGGATCATAAAGTCATAGTTCACTAAGAATTTCTTAAAAGTTGTCATGCCTCCAAATCCCTCTGCAGGTCACAGGGTGAGACCAAGGGCAGCTTCCCACCTGCCCCAGCTACAGCCCCTGGGGGAGCAGTGATGGAAGGGGGAGGAGGAGGAGGGTTTCTCTAGAGTGTCAGGGGGCAGCCCAGCATGTCCCACCCTCAGACCACCACCAGCTTCCCCAGCAGGATGGGGCTCAGGCCATCGCTGAGCAGCCAAGCAGAGCTACCTGGAAGCTCAGGCCACATGGAAGTAGCAGCAGCCAGAGCAGGTGCCCTACTTGGCACTGTCACCTCATCACCAGTGCTGCCCTCCAGGGTGTGGAGGTCACACAGGTAGCCCTGCTGCCTCTGCTGGGCTGGGCCTTTGCATGGCTGCATCCTGGGCTCTGTGACACAACCACGGGGCCACTGAGCTTGGGCAGTGCCATGCTCAATCCAGAGGGAGAGTGCAAGGCTGGCTCAGCCTCTGGATTCAGGTTTTCTCCTGTTTCCAGCTCCACCAGATATGGATTTTATTGGGGCAATACCATGCAGGTCTGACTTGAAGACTGGATGAGGGTGAGGGGTGCAGCTCTATCCTGGCCACTGGAAGGATGTCCAAGGCTAAACATGGAAAAGGGGAGATTTCCATCTGCTCAGCTCTGATGGCAAAGGGCAGCACAGCACAGCCAAACCTTGGGCTGAAATCCGTGGGGAGGGTGGGGGAGATGGGACATGGCTACAAAGGGGCTAGGCTGGTGGGATTAGCGTGGAGTGACACACTGAGGAGCTGAGAAGCCAATGAAAGCCTCATTTTTAAGCCTGTTTTCCACACTCACAACTTGCTTTGTTCCTCCCCTCCTCCCCCTTTCTCTATACCAAGGCTCACCCAGCTGTGCACATCTGGGTGCACAAAGAGGCAGGTTCTGGACCTTCCAGCCCCTGGAATGTCACACACCCAAAGGGCCTGGGGGGCACCCAGGTGAAGGTGTCACAAACCAGCCCCTGGTGGCAGCCCAAGCAGCACCTGCATCCTCCTCTCTGCCTCTGTGCAGCCTGCCCACAGGGAGCCAGCCTGGGCTTTGGGGCTTGAACACATCCCTCTGCTCTTCCTTGTGACAAATAATCAGCCACCACCAGATGGATTCACCTTTTATTAAGCTGCCACCAAGAACAAAAGGAGGATAGAGCAAAGCCTGCCCTGAAACCTTCCCAATGATGGCAATTCTGCATGCCTTCCCCACCCCCAGGAAAAGGGGCTATTTCTCCACAAAAAACCCCTCAGAAGGTATTTTAGATAGAACTGAGAGTGAAAATGTCCCCTGTTGGAGAAAAAAAATTAAATTAAATTAAATAGAGCTCCTACCACTGTCAGAGCCCTGCTTTCATGCAGATGGGACAGGATGGACAAAGGCCACGCTGGGGTCACCAGCTGGAGCCACCCAGGTGTGGCTGTGCAGGTACCACATCCCACATGGGGATGAACATGGAGATGAACCCCCACCTCAGATAACTCCAGCAGCAACAAGCACAAACCCACGGGCTCACAGGGGCAGGGAGGAGGGAGGAGCTGGCACAGCTGCTGGGCTGCCAGCTGGAGGAAAGATGGGGAAGGGAGGGGTGATTTTAGCTAAATAAAAAAAATCTCCTTAGGACCAAGCCCTTTGCAGATGACTGTGTAGTTCAAGAAGGCTCTCCCTGGGGCTGCCCTTAGTACAGTCTGGGCTCAGCACAGAGGAGAGCTGGGGCTGGGCTGGACTGGAGGAGTTCAGCTTCCCCTGGGAATGGGGCACAGTGCCCCTCCAGCCGTTTCAGCCACCTACCTGTGGAGGTGAGGTATGAGAGGCAAGGTGTGCTGGTGGGCAGGCAAGTGCGTGAGTGCAGGGGCCTCCAGCTTCCAAAAGCACTGAGCCAGCCACAAACCTGAGCTCAGACTCAGAGGGCTGCTCACAGGAGATGAAGTTCCTCCATGAAGCTGTCCCTGTGTGCTGAGCTTCAGGACTGCAGCCCATTCCCTCCTGCCCACATCTCCCTGCCCACCCACCAGCTGCAAATCTACTGTGTGGCACTGACTTACCTGCACCTGGTGCCAGGGGACAACTTAAAGGTCCCCAGCCCTGCAAGGCTTGCTCACACACGCTGTGCTTTTGACACTCAGCAAATGCAACCCAGCCCATGGAGTAAGAGGAGCCACAGCCAAGGCTCAGCAGGGTGGGAGGGCAGCAATGCACCCTTTGGGGAGCAGGGAGGTGGGAGAGCAAACCTACAGCTCAGTGGGCTTCACATCGGGGCAGGGGGGGCTCTTGCCAGTCCCAAATGCTTGAACCTACATGGGAGGAGAAAGCAAAGAAAAACTAACAATGTCATCCAGTGCCTGCAAAAAAGGAATCATCATTTCCCGACAGGATTTAGAGGCTCCTGCTGGGGGGAGGGAGAGGAGCAGAAGAAATGAGTAAGAAGAACCTGACATCTCTGTTCTTAATTTATCATCGTATTAAGACTCGAGCGCTGAGTACAGCTCGGCACGCGCTCCTAGATGGATTTCCTCCGCAGCCGGGGGTGCTGCCGGCAGCGAGGGCTGTTGGAAGACAAAGTGCTCCCTGGGGAAGAGCCGGTCTGACCCCGTGTGCTCAGGGACACCTCGTCGATTTTGTAGGAAATGGAGTTGTAGTACACAGGGTTGGTGTGGCAGCTCAGGGTCTCAGGGTGGGAGGGCGCCGGGCTGCCACACACCTGGGGTCTGTAGCACAGGCACGTGCAGAAGGACGGCACCGCGGCCGCCGAGGTGGCCGACTGACGCCGCTGCCTCTCCGCGTCCTCCTGGACCAGCGGGATCAGGTTCATCTGGCTCGTCCTGTCCTCCACAGGGAGAAAAATGGCATTGCTGCTGCGGCTGTCCTCTTTGGGCTTGAGGTGGATGTTGTTGCGGGCTCTCCTCAGCGACGCTCGCTCTTCGGCATCCCGCCGCTCGTCCTCCGAGTTCATCGTCAGGAACCGCAGCACCACCAGGTTGAGGAAGGCGCCGATGACCGTCAGGCCCACCAGGATGTACATGAAGCTGAAAGCCACATATGGGGGCTTCTTCTGCAAAGCCTCATTCTTCTGCAGAGCCACAAAGTCTCCAAAGCCAATAGTGGTCAAGGTTATGAAGCAGTAGTAATAGGCGTGGAAGAAAGTCCAGCCCTCGAAATAAGAGAAGGCTGCGGCGCCGATGCACAGCGTGCCCATGCAGGACAGAAAGCCCACCAGGACCATGTTCTCCATGGAGACATGGGTTGTCCTCATGCCCAGACACTTCTTGATCTTCTTGAGCAGCAGCCGCACGACGGTGTTCATGCGCTCCCCCAGGCTCTGGAACATGACCAGGGTCAGGGGGATGCCCAGGATGGCGTAGAACATGCAGAAGACTTTGCCAGCGTCTGTGCCGGGAGCAGCATGCCCATAACCTGTGAAGGACACAGGAAGGAGCAAAGGCAGTGTCAAGCCCTCACTGGGGTTTCCAGCAGAGCTGCCCTGTCACCAGGAGGAGCAGCAGAAAAATGGGGGAAAGAATGGAAAATGACTCAGTAACAGATCTGCAGACTATGCTAATGGGGCCATGGGATGCCCATCCCTTGGGATGACGGCACATTGCTGTATCATGTAGGCAGAACCTCATTTGACATCTAAAGAGAGAAGGTACCCTTCTGATAGCCCCCAATGTCACAGAGACCAAGTGGAGGCCTGGAGCTGGACTGGGGTCTGCAAGCCTCCTGCAGCTCACGAATAATTCAGAGGCCATGATGCTGTGCCAGGTGTGCAGGGTAACCTGAACCCCACAGCCAGGGGGAACAGAGGCTCTGCAAGATGCTGAGACCAACAGTATCAGATCACCCTCTGGGGAGGTGCACACCCAGCCAGGACCATCCACAACTGCCCTTGCAGGGGCATTGCCACCTTCCCTGTCACCTGCTCCTCCTCCCAAGCCATCCAGTGACATGCCCATTTGAGTTTCAGCTCTGTGAGCACTTGCTGTGTGGCCTGTTGGACAGGAGCCAGAGCGACCTTGCAACCCTGTCCTATAGGGACAGTCCCCACAGGAGCAGCTCAGTATGGAAGGACTTCTGCAGACCCACTCCAGATTTACTCCAGTGTCACTAAGACTCAGACCTAAAGCAGCACCAGACTGCTGGGGAGGAGGGGCTGTGCTGTTTCAGATGCAGGGTAGGGAGCATTTCTGCCACCACAGCCCTGTCAGCCTTTTTCCTGGGGACAAGAAGCTCCAGGAGGACAAGGTTCTCCTTGAACGCCTTCTGAGATTTAATTTCTCCACCTTGGCCAGAGTTTCAGAGCTGTGACTCAAGGACACACACAATTACATTGAGGCGTAGTGAGGTATTCACTGCAGTCTTCCGGACTCCAGCGATTCTGTGCCCACCTCAATTACAGCAGCTTAGCAGAAACCAGTGGCCCCTGACCTCAGAGGATGAGTAACGAACTCAGTGCAAGGGAATCACGTGGCGTGGGGAGTAACAGCATCCAAAGGCATCTAAAGGCATCTAAAGGCATCTGAGCCTTTCTTTTGAGTTGCTTTTACAAGAACCTACCAGGGCCTGAAACTTCCCTTCTGAAGGCACCTGCAGAACAGCGCCAGCTCCTTCCTGCACTGCTGCCAGGCCTTTCACAAACAACTATTTGTATTTTCACTTTCTGCAGGAATCTGTGTGACTTTTGCATGGAAAACATGGGGGGAAACACCCTCTTGTTACCTCACAGTCTTGTTCTAAGCTGTGACTTGGCTTCACCGCAGTCCTTGTTGCCTGTGGATTTCCAGGACACTTGGGGAAGGTGCTGCACCCAGTGAAGGAAGGATCAGAGGAGAATAACCACATTATCCTGGGCTCCTGAGCCCTGGAAACTCCTATATGGGACAGGGCTGAGGGGCTGAGGACAGCATTATCCTTTACCATGCTGTGCTCTGAACTGTGAGCAGGCAACAAGGGATGAGCTTCTAATTGCTCTCTCTGTTCACAAATTCACATAACAAAAAATGATGAATTTAATGCCTGCATGCCACATTTCATGAAATAGAGAGCAGACAGGAGACTGCAGTGGCAAAACCTCCCAGTCAGATCCAAGCTTAATAACTGAGTGCAATCACCAGGTCCCAGGCTACAAGATAATACAATGACAGCAATGAGGATGTAAATATAATGATCCAGAAGAGCAGTAAGTGGAAAAAACAATTGTTATACCCTGAGAGACTGTTGAAGGAGTGTTTGACTGATGGTTTCAAAATGACAAAGGGAATTAGAAAGAGTCAACACAGCTACAATAACATTAAAACTGAGATTTGGAGCACAGCCCAATATAAAGAGATCTAACATGTCAGCTTTTAAGAAATATGGCACCTGGGCTGAAATTATTTATCACACAGGGTGTGTGATAAGCACAGCCATTGTTTGTCACAGCCAACAGGAAAATCATGTAAATGAAGCTATAACCTGTCAGGTGATGATGGGGATTTTTGCTGAAGCCATTCATCTTTCCCTCCTGCTGGGGTCTAACCTGAACCATGCCCTAAGCTCACTGTGGTTTGCTGACAGTCTGTGTTCCCAGCTCCACAGAGCCCACACCACATCCCATGGGAGCACACGGAGACCCCAGGCAAGGCCTGCAGGATACCTGTCCCTCTTCCACCTCTTGTCCTCTGGTAACACAGTGCAGTTGATCCCACCAAGTCTTCTCCTGAGGGATGATGCTTCCAGCTACCAGGGGTATTTCAACCATTCAAAGCCCTTTGGTAAGGCTAAAGTTCTGTCCTGAAGAGCAGGAGGCAGCTGCTGGCTGTGCCAGGGCAGGATTTGGCCTCAGGATTCCTGCCTCCAAAACACATCTGCTGACTGAAATCCCAGCACAAGCAGTGACACAAGCACAGGATCCCTGTCTACCCCCATGGGATGCCAAGGGTGCATGGATTAATCAAAGTGGATTAATTAAACTATGCTCAACTCCCATGTGGCTAATCTCACCTTAATTAAGACAATCCTCACTCAATTTAGTTTCATTCTCTTGCAAAATTGAAGCAGACAAACCAAGGCACTGGGCTCTAGTATGGGTAAGTGGGTCTACGGGGGAGTTTAATGTGATTCAATCACTTCCCTCCAAGCTGACACCCATGTCTCTGCAGGCTTCTGTGCAGGCAGAGCAGCAGGCAGTGGCTGTTGGCTCTCTTGGCTCCGTGAAGCAGTTCTCACACAGCCAAACACCCAGAGTTCTGAGCCAGTAAAGAAGCCAACAATTCTTGCCCAGCTCTTCACCCAGCTCATTGGCTACAGCCAGCGCAGGGGACAGACACGGCCCCTGCCTCTGCCATCCCACACCGCTGCCAACTTTGGCAGCTGCCTGCTCCAAAGGTTCCCGCAGAAGCTCCACAAGCTGCTGACTCCCTGGGACAACATCGTGTCCTGCAGCCCCAGCCTTAGCAGCACCCCCAGGACAGGGGGGCTGCCCGTGGGTTGCCTCGCCCACCACTGGGCACTAGGGTCCCACAGGGTCAGCTCGGGGTGGCCCGAAGAGATGTCCCTGCCTTGGACGGGTGACACTTGTCTCTGCCATGTGGGCATCCCCAGACTGTCCTGGAGCTCTCAGGGGTACTGGAGGGCTGGAGAAGGATGGGGCTCAGGGACATGGAGATGGAGGGACATGGGAGGCAGGGATGGAGGGGCAGGGGGTGTAGGGAGCTTGGATGGAGGGACGCGAGGTGCGGAGTTTCAGGGACGGAGGGATGCCGTGCGCGCCGGCCGTGCTGCCCGCACTCACCGATGGTGGTGATGACCGTGATGGCGAAGTAGAAGGAGCCGGCGAACTTCCACTGGCGACCGGCGCGGTGCGGCTCGGCCTGCAGCACCAGCCGCTCCAGCTCTCGGTAATCGTCGGCGGAGAAGCGGTACTTCCTCCGCAGCTCCCCGCGCTTCTGCTCCAGCAGCCGCTTGCGGCCGCTCTCCGCCTCCGACTCCAGCGCATCGAAGACCGCGGCGCCCACCAGCAGGTAGGAGAAGATGCAGAGGATGAGCGCGGCCGTGCGCAGGTTCTGCCGCTTCATGGCGAGGGGCGGCCGCCGCGCTCAGCCCGGGCTCCGCATGGCCCCGCCGCCGCCGCCCCCCGCCCGCCCCCCGCGCACCCCCGCGACCGCGCACCGCCCCCCGCGCACCGCCCGCGCACCGGGCACCGCGCATCCCGCACCGCGCACCGCCCCCCGCGCACCGCCCGCGCATCCCGCACCGGGCACCGCGCACCGGGTACCGGGCACCGGGCACCGGGCACTGGGCACCGCGCACCGGGCACCGTGCATCCCGCACCGGGCACCGGGCGCCTCCCGCGCACTGCTCGCGCACCGTGCACTGTGCATCCCGCACCGGGTACCGGGTACCGGGCACCGCGCAGCGCCCGCGCATTCCGCATCGCCCGCGCATCCCGCACCGGGCACCGCCCGCGCACCTCTCACCCCCGCGCACGGCTCACCCCGCACCGCGCACCGCACACCGCCCGCTCATCCCGCACCCCGCACCGGCCCAGGGCACAGCGCAGCGCCTCCTGCCTGCCCCTGGCACCGGCTCCCGCGGGCTCCTGCGGGCTCCGGCTCCCATGCACACCTAGGCTGGCTCCGTGTGCCCCGATCTCTCCCTGCCCGGCCGCAGATGAGCCCCAGCGAGGCCGCGGTTCATTCTCGTGCCAGTGACTGCAGTAACAGCCCCGTTTCCCGAAAATGTTCCTGGATGCTCCCAGGCTGGAGGAGTTTCTTGTGCCTACACCCTCCTCACCTGCCCTCCCGAAGGCAGGGTTGGGGCTGTGTGGCTGTCCCGAAGTTTTCCATGGTATCATCCCCTCGCTCCTGCTGCTCTGCCCTGATCTGGGCTGCTTCACAGCCATGGCACTGAGGAACCCTGCTAGCGGTGTCACCGGTGTGATCTATTTGTGTTACCTGTGCAATCTGTGTTTTCTATCTGTGTTTTCTATTTGCGTGATCTGTCTGTGTTATCTGTGTTGTCTGTGTTATCTATCTGTGTTATCTGTGTTCCCAGTGTTATCTGTCTGTGTTATCTGTGTTATTTGTCTGTGTTAGCTGTGTTATCTCTCTCCATTATCTGTGTCACCCTTTTCCCAGCTGGTTACCAGGGCAGAGTCTGGCCTGTTGGGTCCAGTGCTGTTTCAAGGGGGCAGAAAGGAACAAAACCAGATTCACAGTTTCTGATGCTTTCTTTGGCACATTGGTGAGAGGCTGCAGGCACGGGGGACGTGGGGCCTGTCCATCCTGTGCTGGTGTGGGGGGCAGTGAGCTCAGCCTCTCTGCTCTGATGTGCTGTGGGCAGCCCAGGTCAGCCCCAAGGAGAAGGGAAATCAGCTGTGGTAAGAGGCAGAGCCCACAAATTGAAGACCCTGTTTCTCATTCCTGGTTACCATAGATTTCATGTAACTCCTATACTTCACTTTTAAAAATAGAAAGATACTTCTGAGTTGTGTGTTGCAGGAGATAGTATCTCTTTCAGGAAAATAAACTCTTCTTCTTTTGGCTGGGAATAAAACACCCAAGTGAAAAAAACGACGAGGCTTACATCCTTCTTCATCCTCTGGAGAGGAGAAGATGCTTTGGGATTTAGTTGCACCAATGAAGCTTTGAACTGGACATAAGAAAAACTTTAACCATGAAGACAGTGCAACACTGGAACAGACTGCTGGGGGAGATTGTGGCCACCCTGTCACTTGAGGAGTTTAAAAATAAGATAAGCAGATGTCTGGGTGTCTGCTGAAAATGCTCTGGGTACAGTGGGTGCTCTCCTGAAGGAGGGGGTGACTCAATGCTCTCCTAGAGCCCCTTCCATCCCAGTCCTCAGCATTTCCATGGCCAAAGCAAGGGACACAGTGGCCTCTCCTACTGTAATTGTGAACTCTTTTTCACCCTGGCCACTTGCCACTTCCCTCCTCCTTGCTGAGCCTCCGTGCCAGCACCATTAGTGAAAGTTGTTATTGGAGAAAAAATAGACTCCGGCATCCATCAGGAGCAGCAGAAGCTGTCGGCGTGCTGCTCGACATGGCAGGGCTTGCAGCCTCCTAAATCATGTGGCAGAGCCTCTGCTGGAGGAATGTGTGTGGTTTGTGCTCTCCATGGTGTTTGCAGCCCTGCTGACGGGGCCTGGGATGCTGTCAAACCTCCAGCCCCAGAGACGTGTGGGCCTCCTGCTCATGCAGATGCACTTCACCTGGTGCTGGTAATTTTTTCCACTGGTCAGCAATGATTTCCCACCTTGGAGACAGGAGTGGGTGGCTGGGGACACTGGGGACAGGGGGAGCATCTCTGCTACCACAGCATGAGCAGCTCTCAGAGTCCCCTTCTACTGTCTTGTCCTCTTTGGGGCTTGTGGTGGGCTGACCTTGGCTGGCTTCAAGGTCTTTTCCTGACCCCAGAAGAAATCTTTACCTTGCAGTGTCTTGGGACATGGGTCTTCCTTCAGCATGGCCTTTCCAGGCTGCACTGGGAGTTACAGAGATTGGGATGTCACTGATTTCTCCTTTTGGGGCTTGCTTTGACCTCTTGCAGGTCAGAGGCCCCTGTAGAATAAATGCTGCTCAGCAGGAAAAGGGGAGCAGGATCCATCTCCTAATGAGAAACCCCCCAGTAACAAGTCAGGACTGTTTGGAGTGGGACTGGAGTCTTCAAAACCCAGGCTGGATTCAGCCTGCTCTGATTCTCACTGCACACACACTACTTTTTCCTGCCTGCAGTGATCACAGGACATGAGAGACACCAAACTGTGTCAGATGGCTGTTGTGGAGGGCCATCCTGTCCTGTTCCTCCTTAGGCACAGGAAAGTTTATGGTTTCTTGCTGGGAAACCATAAATTCAACCTTTGTGTTTCTCTGGACTTTGCTCTGCTTGAGGAAGGTCAAGCTGGAGCCATGGGTTCAGGGCAGGCAAGATAATGTACTTTATCATTGATTTTCAGTGAGAAGTTGCATTATGAGATTAAATGTCTCATTTTTATTGCTTGGGGAGGCAAAGAAAAAGCAGGAGCTCTGAAAATAAAACGTGAGTCCAAGTGCTGTGTTTGTGTGGGGAGGTGCTTGTGACTGGGAGTGAGCGTGCCTTTTTTCCAATCCTTTGGAGGTGAACTTTGAGAGGCTGGTAAACAAAGTCAAACCTCATCTGTGTTTAAACCAGTGACTAATTAATGTGTCTAATTGGCCCACATCTTCTAATTCCATGCTGGCAGGGAGTTTATTAAAAAGCTTTTCTAGTTCTAATGGATTGAAATAAGCAAAACTGCTTAGCAGTTTCAGACCAAAAGCACTAAACAGGGACCAGTTGTGTGGGTCTGCTTGAGTCAATCCCAAGTCCCACCACCCAACCCCTTCCCTGGTTTCAGCTGCAAGGTGCTCCAGCTCTCTGAGGGCTTGGGGACCATCCTGATGGTACTCTGCCTCTTTAGGTTATTTTTAAGCACCAAATTGATGTTTTTGTTTGCTTTAGTAAAAGCATCAGCTATTCTCGCTTTAATGCCATTAATACTTATATTATAGATAGCCTGGCAAAGCCACAGGGTATTTCTGAAGCAGTGGATTCGTTTAATTTCTAAAAAGTATTAGGTATCAGGGTATGAATAACAAGCAGCTGCCCAGATCATGTCCTTAAAGCACTGCTGGGCTGCCCCAGCCAGGCAGCACCATGAGCTGGGCACATGGAGTGCTCCTTCCTCTCTGCATGAAGGGCCATGGCAATGCCTTCCTCTGCAGACACAGCATCCCTGATTGCACCCAGGCTGGATGTAGTATTTGCTTCTGTCCCATGACTCCACAAATCATCCTGTAAAACATCCTCCTGCATGCTGGAGCTTCCTGGGATTTGTCTTTTGGCCATGCTCAGTTACTGCAGGCTCAGGAACCTCATAGTTTTCCTCGGCTCTGAGAATTGCTTCTGCCTCTCTCCTGGGCTCTTAGTAGCTCAGATGGCTGCAGGCACTTTGCTCTGCATTGTGATGTGGAAGCTCAGCAAGGGAAATAAGGAAGCATTGGATATAAACTGGTTGTAAATGCAGTTTGGTCTCCCATGGATGTGACTTCCAGCTTTCCAACCCCAGACCACATGAACACAGTTCTGTGTATGACTGGCTCCAACCTCCTTACCCAGTACCAGCCATGCTAAACCTCATCATGCCACCTCCTAATACCCCAGAACTCATTGGGAAGCATTTCCCACCTACCCTTCCCACCCAAAATGGGTTCTGTGAGGGGCCACACAGCCCCATGCTCACACCCCACTTCCTCCAGCAGCCTGATCTGCCACTGGTTGTGCACAAAGCAGACCTGGGCTGGAAATGCTGACAGTACTCTTGACAGTTTATGGTCACAAACTCTATTTTCAGCCTAATAAGTTTTTTATATGCTTGGAAAGCTGTCAGTTGAACATCAGCCAGGCACAAAGTACCTGCCATAAAGCACCTGGACCACAACCAAATGGGAAAGGTGCTGCTCTGCTTTAGCAAGTTCTTGATCTCAGATGCTTTACTGGGTTCATTTATTTTGTTTGAGGATCTTGGCTTTAATTATAAAATAATAAGATAAAATCATTATACCTCTACTTAAAAATTTGTGGAAGTATTTGCTGAGAGTCTGTTAAATCAAAGCTGTCTGCCAGTTTGGATTGGGTTTTGGGGCTGGGAGGCTCCGTGGTGCTGCTGCCAGTGCCAGAGTGGAGCAGGAGATCTTGTGATGAAGGAGAGACTATGGGAGTGTGTCTGGAGAAGGGTCCTGCTTCTGGGCAAGGTGGATCTGCAGACGAGCTGCCACGGCCACCACACAGACTCAGGGTAGGAACGTGGCCACAGGGAGAGCAGGGCTGGCCCCGGGCCAGCTCCCACCTCGGGTGGCAGCGTCACGATGCCATAAAGAACTTCCCTGCCTCGCAGCCTGCGGGACTGCCAGGAAGGTCAGGGGCGGCGGGGGACAAAGGGTCTGGGAAGGAATTACAAAGACGTGAGGCTCTTCTGGAGGGTTCCCCGGTGACAGCTTTGCCCCTGTCCTACGAGGCGTGCCACGCCATGGCAGCAC